GAGCAACAGCAGTCCAAGTCCACACCCCATGGGGAGTCACCTACCAACACATTATCAGTCCCCACCCCTCCAGCACATACAAAATGCAGGATGTGCTTTGGAGAGAGGTGGGGAGCTGCCCTCATCTTTCAGTTTTCAAGTGTCCAATCAGGGTGCAGGGAGACTTAGAGCAGTATCTGTCCTTCTCAGAAACCCTGTTTCAGAAAATGGCATGGGATTCAGGAGGCCATGGGACCATGTGAAGCAGGTGGAGTTGGGGGAGACCTCAGAACTCTAAAGGGGTATTCTCCCCAGAGGCCTCCTCAGCCTGTTCTTTCAAGTGTTTCCCTTCTAGGTATTGCTAGAGCTTTCAGACTCTTACTTCCCTTGCCTCCCCTCCCTTGGCTTGTCTCCAAAGCCTCCAAGTGCTTTCCTCTCCGATAATTAAGCATTTTGGTAATCAAGGTCTGCCTTATCAAACCATCTGTGGCCATATGTAGCTTTGTGAGAGGGGGCCTGTGCAGGGAGGTCCTCTGCTTTCTTGGTTCTCTCTGACCAGACACTTTTTGGGAACCCCCCACCCTACCCCCAGCTGTCTCCCCCCACCCCAGTCCCCAAGGCAGAGCACATATTGGCACAGAAGCAAATTTACTCTTCTTAGTGTCTCCCAGAGCAGAAGCACAGAGGAGGGAAAGGCCAGGACCTTCTGAGGAAGGTCGGGTAATGTGGTGCATCCATGCTGGGCAGGGGCACGTTGAGTCTAGAATGTACAGGGCTTGGAATGCCAGGCTAAGGGATTTTGATGAGAATCTCTTTCTCTTTTTTCTTTAAGATATATTTTATTTATTTGAGAGAAAGCATGAGTGGGAGGGGCAGAGGGAGAGGGAGAGAGAATCTCAAACAAACTACAGGCTGAACCCGGAGCCCCACGCAGGGCTCGATCCCAGGACCCTGAGATCATGAGCTGAGCCAAAGTCAGACGCTTAACTGACAGAGCCACCCAGGCTCCCCCGACGGGAATCTCTTGAGATGGCAGGATCTGGTACATCAGGTCTGGGAAGGGGAGATGGGTGTTGCAGGAAGGGCTGGGACCGAGGCTAGCCCGAGTGCAGCCCTGAGCAAGGCCGACTCTGTCTTCCCAAGGTGTTGGGGCTTCAGAGAAATGGCCACGGAGGAACGTCTTGGGCTCACCCCAGCCCTGTGAGCGAGGATGGCTATCCTATCCAATGCCAAGGCGAGGACATGCAGACCAAAAGAATATAGGAGTTTATCACCAAAAGACAGAGGAATTTCCGGAAGATGAACTTCAGAAAGAATGAAAGTGACTCCAGAGATGAGACCTGCGGGGCAAGAAGGAAAGGTGGTGATGTGGAATTTGGTGGGGAGGAGGGAGGGGGCTCTTAAAAAGTCAAGGTACTGGAGAACACAACCCCTAAGAACAGAGAGGGGTAGTAAATAGGAGGTTCTAAAGGCTTCGTATAGTTTGAAGGGAGATAGATCCATCGAGTAAGCTTCGACTTTGTTAATACACTTGTTGAAGTGTTAGAGTAATCTCCAAAAGAATAGAAAATGAGTGTATGACTTCCAAGCCAGGAGAAAGAAAAGGCATTAAAAACTCAATCATGAGAAAGGAAAGCCAGGAAGGAGAAAAACAGTAAGGAAGCAGGATAAATAGAAAGTATTAGTTGTAGAGAATAGAAACTGCTCTGCTTTTCTTTAAGCAGAAAAGGAGTTTTGTAGACCATTTTAGGTGGCACATTTTGATGTTAATTGTACATGTCAGCTTGACTGGGCTAAGGCATGCAGAGAGGTTTTATTTCTGGGAGTGTCTGTGAGGCTGTTTCTGGAAGAGATTAGCATTTAGATCAGCCGACTGAGTAAAGAAGTTCCCCTTCCCTGAAGAAATTTGCAATTGTCTTATCAGATAAAGGACTAGTATCCAAAATCTATAAAGAACTTATCAAACTCAACATCCAAAAAACATGAAATCCAGTCAAGAAATGGGCAGAAGACATGAACAGACATTTCTCCAAAGAAGACATACAAATAGCCACCAGACACATGAAAAAATGCTCAACATCACTGGGCATCAGGGAAATACAAATCAAAACCACAATGAGTTACCACCTCACACCAGTCAGAATGGCTAAAATTAACAAGTCAGGAAACGACAGATGTTGGTGAGGATGCGGAGAAAGGGAAATCCTCTTATACTGTTGGTGGGAATGCAAACTGGCGCAGCCACTCTGGAGAACAGTATGGAGGTTTCTCAAAAAGTTAAAAATAGGGTCACCTGGGTGGCTCAGATGGTTGAGCGTCTGCCTTCGGCTCAAGTCATGATCCCAGGGTACTGGGATCGAGCCCCACATCGGGGTTGCTGCTCGGCGGGGAGCCTGCTTCTCCCTCTCCCCCTGCTCATGCTCTCTCTCTCTCTCTCTCTCTCTCTCTCTCTCTCTGTATCTGTGTGTCTCAAATGACTAAATAAAGTCTTCAAAAAAAAAAAGTTAAAAATAGACGACCCGGGGCGCCTGGGTGGCTCAGTCGGTTAAGCGACCGCCTTCGGCTCAGGTCATGATCCTGGAGTGCCGGGATCGAGTCCCACATCGGGCTCCCTGCTCGGCAGGGAGTCTGCTTCTCCCGCTGACCCTCTTCCCTCTCGTGCTCTCTCTCTCATTCTCTCTCTCTCAAATAAATAAATAAAATCTTTAAAAAAAAATAGACTACACTACAACCCAGCGATTGTACTACTCGGTATTTATCCAAAGGATACAAACATAGTGGTTCGAAGGGGCACCTGCACCCCAATGTTTATAACAGCAATGTCCACAATAGCCAAACTATGGAAAGAGCCAAGATACCCATCAACAGATGGATGGGTAAAGATGGTATATATAGATACAGATATAATGGGATATTACTCAGCCATTAAAAAGAATGAAATCTTGCCATTTGCAACGACGTGGATGGAACTAGAGGATATTATGCTGAGCAAAATAAGTCAGTCAGAGAAAGACAAATACCATATGATTTCACTCATATGTGGAATTTAAGAAACAAAATAGATGAACATAGGGGAAGGGAAGGAAAATTAAGATGAAAATTGAGAGGGAGGCAAACTGTAAGAGATGCTGAACTCTAGGAAACAAACTGAGGGTTGCGGGAGGAGAGGTGGATGGGGGATGGCATAACTGGGGGATGGGCATTAAGGAGGGCACGTGATGTAATGAGCACTGGGTGTTATATGCAATTGATGAATCACTAAATTCTACCTAAGAAATTAATTTAAAAAATTTTTAATTTATAATTAAATAAATAATTTTTTAAATAAATAAAAAAAAGAAGGTCCCCCTCCCCAGTGCTGATGGGCATCATCGAATCTTTTGAGGGCCTGAAAAGAAAAGAAGGTGGAGGAAGGGTGAATTTGTTCTCTGAGCTGGGACATCCATCTTCTCCTGCCTTGTACATCGGCTCTCCTCAGGCCTTCAGACTGGACTGGGACTTACACTGTCGGCTCCCCTGGTTCTTGGGCTTCAGACTTGGACTGAATTACACTATGGGCTCTCCTGGGTCTCCAGCTTGCAAATGGCAGATTGGGGGACTTTACAGCCTCCATAATCATGTGAGCCAATTCCTGTAATAAAACTCCTCATACCTATGTGTATACCCTGTTGGTTCTGTGTCTCTGAAGAAGCCTGACTCATACACTCATGGAATCTCAGGAGGGTCAGAGAACCAGTCTCCGAGGTTCTACAGCCAGGAGAAACACCAACTTGAAGCTTCCAGTGGCCTCAGTTGGGGAAGCGGGGCTCCTGGGAGTATCTCGCTGGGCTGGCCCAGGACCTCAGCATCCATACTCCCACCTCTCTCTCCTCTGGGAGGTCAGTAAATGTTAGCACTTGCGTTCAGCATCATTGCCTCTAGTTTCCTTAGACCTTTTATTTGAAATAGATGATGTATTTTTATCAGATATAACGGAGGTCATTACATGGTTTTCTTATTTAATTGTGTGTGCGATGAATTATGTCAATAGATTCTCCATGGCTCATGACCTTTACACTTCTGGAATAAACCTCATGCTGTATTCTTTTGATAGGCTGCTGGATTTGATTTGATTTATTTGTTTGTTTTTTAAGTCATCTCCACACCCAGCGTGGAGCCCAAGGTGGGGCTTGAACTCACAACCATGAGATCAAGACCTGAGCTGAGATCAAGAGTCAGACGCTTAACTGACTGAGCCACCCAAGCACCCGGATTTGGTAGGTTATTTAGAGGGTTTGCATCTATATTATTTATAAGCAAGATTCATTTTTGCAGCATCTTTATCAGATTTGGCCATTACCATTTTATTAACATCATAAAACATGTTAGAGTGCTTACCATCTTTCCCTTGGACCTGGAATAGTGTAAATAGTGTTTGAATGATTTGCTATTTAAAGGTGAGATAGAACCATCTGGGTCTGGTGCCTTTTTCTGATAGTTTAAAGAATAACCACAACAAAGATTTACATTGTGTTTATTTTTTTTTTAAAGATTTTATTTACTTATTTGAGAGAGTGAGAGAGAGAGAGCTCATGCACAAGTTTTGCGGGGAGGGGCAGAGAGCGAGGGAGAAGCACATTCCCCACTGAGTAGGGAGCCTGGGGATCATGACCAGAGCAGAAGGCAGATTAAGGAGCCAAAATTTCTTTGATTTTTTTTTTTTGTTCCTTCATAGTGAGGGCCCTTTAATTTTTTTGCCTTCACCATCTTTAATCATCTTTCCAATCTCTTATTTGGTAATTAATCAGTTCATGAACTCGAATTGTTTCAAGGTCGATCTTGGTATTTTACATTATTCTAGGAAGTTATTAATTTCCCCTGAATTTTCCAGCTGGTTGTCCTTTTTCTCAAAACATTCTCTAGTGAGTACTTCGATTTCTTCCGGATCTGTGATAACGCACCCATACCCGTCCTCTTTCTCAAGCCTGGGTGTCTTTAAGGTTCTTTTTTTTACTGTGAATGTTTTAATCATTTTTGTTTACAAAAATATGGAACACTTCACCAATTTGCTGTGTCATCCTTGCGCAGGAGCCATGCTTATCCTCTCTGTATCCTTCCAGTTTTAGTATATGTGCCGTTGAAGCGAACACTTTACATTTTCTTTTTAAGATAGATTTGTTTATTTTGGAGGGGGGAGGGGCAGAGGGAGGAGAATCTTAAGCAGATTCTGTGTGGCGCTCGGAGCGCAATGTGGGGTTTGATCTCATGACCCTGAGATCACAGCCGGAGCTGAAACCAAGAGTCAGACGCTCAGCCAGGGGCCCTGCACTTTTAAGTTTCTTACTGAAGAATATTCATACAATAACGTACACAACTAATGAGTATACAGCTCAATATATTTTCACAAAGTGAGCAAACACTCCTGTATCCAGCATCCAGATGAAGAAATAAAACATGCCCAGTCCAGCTCCCTTAGTTGCCCCTCTGTGCCCCTTTTCAGTCTCTACCCCCAGACACAATATGCTGACTCTTTTTTTTTAAAGATTTTATTTATTTATTTATTCATTTGAGAGATCGAGAATGAGAGAGAGAGAGAGAGAGAGAGAGAGAGAGAGCACATGAGAGGGGGGAGGGTCAGAGGGAGAAGCAGACTCCCCGCCGAGCAGGGAGCCTGATGTGGGACTCGATCCCAGGACTCCAGGATCATGACCTGAGCCGAAGGCAGTCGCTTAACCAACTGAGCCACCCAGGTGCCCCACAATATGCTGACTTCTAATAGCATAAATTACTTTTGCCTGTTTTCGTAGTAATGGAAGCAATGCGTACCATTTTATATCTGGCTTCTTCTGTACTGGTTCTATGAGAGTCATCCATGGTTTTTATTCCATTATATGAATATCCACCATTTATTTATCCATCCTACTGTTGATGAACATTTGGGTTTTTTCCAGTTTGGGATGGTTATAAATAGTGCTGTTCTGAACATTCTTGTTCATGGTTTTGGCTGAACATACGTACATTTTTTTGTTGCTAAGCCAACGTATTTTTGTTCTCTCTTTTTAAACAAAGTTTTATAATAGGAATTTTCAAACATCCTCAAAAGTAGATGGAATGGAATAGGGAACTCCCCAGAACCCATCACCCAGCTTCGATAACCATCATCTTGGGAGCCCTGCCTCATAAACGCCCACTCCCCATATTTTTTTTTCTTTCTTTTTCTTTTTCTTTTTTAAGATTTTATTTATTTGACGCAGAGAGAGAGGGAGCAGAGGCAGAGGGAGAAGAAAAAGCAGACCCCTCGCTGAGCAGGGAGCACGACGCGGGGCTCGATCCCAGGACCCTTTAGCTCAGGGTCTGAGCTAAAGGCAGACACTTAGCTGACTGAACCACCCAAGCCCCCTTTTCTTTCTTCATTTTTCAATGTCGGAGGAACTTAAAGCAAATCCCAGATCTCATCCCATCCTCCTGGTTGTATGTATTGTAATACACGTATCATATGCATAACATATGTACATGTTTATTACATGTTTCTCTAGCAGATAAGGATTTTTTTTCTTAACATAACCATCATGCCCGTATCATACTCAACAACATTCATACTTTGATTTTCTCATCCAATAGTCTGTGTTCAGATTGCTCTGATGATCTTAAAAATGTTTCTTTAATTCTGTTTGCGTGAGGGTCCAAGCAGGGTCTACACTGTGCATTCCTGTCGATGTCTCTGTGTCTCTTTCATCCACCACAGTCTCCTCTCACGTTTTCTCATGCCTTTTACTTTTGGCAAAATGAGTTCACTTGCCTGCGGACCGCCCACGCCTGGTTTGGCTGATTGCAGCCGAGTAGTGATGTCTAATGTGTGCTGCTCCAGCCCAGTTTTCATGTAGACCGCGAGGGACGTTTAGAAGCTATTACTATGGAAAGAACACTTCACAGGTGATGCTTCTGTGTCACATCAGGAGGCGGGTGTGATGTGAAAATTGACTCGTGGGTTCAGAGGTTGTTGGCAAGATGCATCAGTGATAAGGTCCCCTACCAACCTTCACGTGATGGTTTTAGCAGCTGTTGTTGATCATGTTCGCCTACATCCTTCATTAACGAGGCATTGCAGAATGGTGATTTGTCTAATTAGATCATTCATTCTGTATTCTTAGCTGGAAGTTTTCTAAAAGGAAAAGCTTTTCATTATCAGCTATTTGGTTACCCCAAAATATAATTAAGTACAGGAGAGGCAAGAAAAGTCTGGATTTTCTTTTTTTCTTTTTCTTTTTTTTTTTTTTAACACCAATTTCAGCATAAATATTTGGTGCCCGTACCAGCCAGAGCCCAATCAGGAGATAAAAACCGTAGCAGCTACTTCTACAGTGAGAATATCATCTAAAGAAATGTTAAACAAGGTCTTTAAGAATTGAGAAGGCAAAAAAGTGAACACTGAGATATCACGGAGCAACTGGGGGAAGTGGCTACCAACCCTAGACCTGAGGAAATAAAGGGAAGAATTTGGGATGATTCGACTTCAGAAGTGGGTAGGGGGGCCCCACTGAGCACTGCTCAGCTGAGCCTCAAGTGCCAGAAAACCAGCAGCCTCTAAAAGCCTCTAAAAGTCTAAAAAGACTTAGAGGGATGGGATCTTGACACCTTCATTACCAGCATTGTGCCCAAGCAACCTCTAAAAGTGACCAATTTTTAAAAGTATTATTATGAACTCATGATTTCTTTTAATGTATGTGAGTGTGTTTGAACCCATACAGTCATGGATATTTTTGATGCTTAAATTGTCCTATCTCTGGCTGGTGGCGGTCCCTTAAAGGTGGCTGTCAATCTGACAAGACCTCAGCAGTGTTTCATAGCTTTCTTGCTATCTAGCATGACAAGATAGTCCAGACTTATTTTGCATATTTCCTGCTCCAGACCCAGAATCAGCCTTTCTCCAAAGAGCCCTGTTTCCTTATAGCGGTGAGGGTCATTTTAAGACTATTATCTGAATGTTGGGTTGTCTCTGCTTTAAAGTCTTTGCGGTGGACAGAGCTAAGAAGAATGTATTTCTTTTGAAATAAAACATGAATTATGGGGGTGCCTGGCTGGCAAGCCTGTAGAGTGTGCCACTCTTGATCTCGGGGTCATGAGTTCAAGCCCCACATTGGGCGTAGAGCCTACTTAAACAAACAACAAAAATTATGATTTCATACTGATAGTTGTAATTTGAAAGTAAGATTACAGGATTGTACATAATTTTAAAATCTCTCTGTTATGAAAAAAGAATTTTTGCCTCCTAATAACATTAACATAATTACATATTGGCTATGTAAACATATATGTTAAAATAGCTACACCGCTATCACTACTAACAATAAAGCTATTGAATGCACTTAAATTTTCTTAAATTTAATTTTCTTTTTTTTTTTTTAAAGATTTTTGTTTGACAGAGAGAGACACAGCGAGAGAGGCAACACAAGCAGGGGGAGTGGGAGAGGGAGAAGCAGGCTTCCCGCAGAGCGGGGAGCCCGATGCGGGGCTTGATCCCAGGACCCTGGGATCATGACCTGAGCCGAAGGCAGACGCTTAACGACTGAGCCACCCATGCACCCCTTAAATTTAATTAATTTCTTAATGGCTCTTTTTATCCTCAGTAGATACCCCAGTAGGGGTGCAAGGTCAAAATGATGTATTTGAAAATCATTCAAGGGGCGCCTGGCTGGCTCAGTCTGCGAAGCATGTGACTCTTGATCTTGGGGTCATTAGATTTATTTATTTGAAAGACAGAGAGACAGAGAGGGGAGGGGCCAAAGGAGAGAGAGAATCCTGAAACAGACGCCCTGCTGAACGTGGAGCCCCACTCAGGGCTCGATCCCAGGACCCTGAGATCATGACCTGAGCCAAAATCAAGAACCAGCCACTTAACCGACTGAGCCACTCAGGCACCCCCCAAGAATAAAATCTTTAAAAAAAGGGCGCCTGGGTGGCTCAGTTGGTTAAGCGTCTCCCTTCAGCTCAGGTCATGATCCTGGGGTCCTGGGATTGAGCCCCGCATTGGGCTCCATGCTCAGGGGGGAGCCTGCTTCTCCCTCTCCCTCTGCCCCTCCCCCCTGCTCCTGTGTGCACACACTCTCTCAAAAATAAATAAATAAAATCTTTAAAAAAGTCTTAAAAAAAAAACTTCTTCAACCCCAGGAGCTGCTGTCAAAATCTCATTGCTTTAAAAACAAACAAATAAATAAAATAATTCAAAAGAATTCTTTGTTATGCTGTGTTGTTATGCGATCACCTTGATATAAAATTGGGTTCATTTGTTTATTTACACTTTTAGGGATTGTTTTTCTATTAATTTACATGTTAAAAATAATGTAAAATATTTACCTGGTTCCAAAGTCAACATTAGAACACAAGACACATCAGAGAAGTCCAGACTTCTTCCATGGCTCCACTCAATTTCTTCTTCCATTGTTTATTTTAGATGAGATAAGATTATTGGTATATTTTAATCTCCGCCCCCCCTTAGCTCACTCAAAAGTTCAGAGGTCTGTCTGGCTTTAGTAATCTTGATTCTTCAAGCTTTTGCTGTTAGAATTTTGCAAGGAACATGTACTCCTTTGTACAGAAAGCAACTGGACTCTAAAAATAGCTTTTTTATTTTTTAAGGAAGTTTTTTTTTTTTAAATTTTCTTTCTTTGACACTGCACGAGCACAAGCACAAGGAGGCGGAGGGGCAGAGGGCAAGGGAGAAGCAGACTCCCCGCTGGGCTGGAAGCCCCGACTGGAGGCTGGATCTCAGGACCCTGCCAGGACGCTGGGATCATGACCTGAGCCGAAGGCAGACGCTTAACAGACTGAGCCACCCAGGTGCCCCTAGAAATAACTTTTAAAAGGATGTCTTCTGAGACCGAAAGCCTTTAGGTGGAGCCAAGCCAGAGCAGGGTCTGCACTTGGGTGGAGCGGTGGGGGTGGCAGCCTACAGTGGATGTCCGAGGCCCAGTGGGTGCTGCAGTCCGCGAGGAAGGCGTCCCTGTCGCCCAGAGTCGGGGACCGGGGAGGCCTGAGCAGCCCGCACCTGCATCATGGGGGCGGGGAGGGCTGGGGCGGGGCGGGGCGGGGGAGTAGACGGTTGGGAGCAGGGGGAGTCTGAGCACAGCGAGGGGTTATTGTGGGGGTGGAG